CAGCGGAGCGCCGGCAAAACACACTCGAGGGCTGAAAACCGGCGCACTTTGAGATCATCTTGACGAGACGAGGGTTCCTGCGAGGAGAGCGTGTCACTGTCGACATGACCGCTTAGTTAGTGAGGCTGTCTGGAAGCATGATTCATATTTAACACTTTGTTGAGTTGCAGGATTTTATGGCCTACAACGGGAGACTGGAACTAACACTGAGCCAATTTGTGAGAATACTAAAACCAAACAAATGTGTGACCTAAACAAAGTTGGCAAAAGCCCAATTCTCCGATGTCGGTAAAAGATGAGAAAGATGGCCGCCCCGACAAATAGTGAACTTTAATCGTATTTTTTATTCTTGGGAGGCCATGTTTGTGACACGACAGAACGATGTGTGGTGTCGCTCGCATTCTAACAAATGGTTGAAATTGTAAAAATCGGAATGTGCGCCGTTTAGCTAACAGTCTGAGCCGTTTTTAGCATCACCAACCCGTACAAAAAAAATGGTCCAAACTTGGTGCATATTCCTTGAAATTTTACATTGAATTCCAATTTGTTCAGCTACCCAACCATTAAGTTGTGCGGGTCATGTTTTTTTTTTTTTTTTTTTTTTTTTTTTTTAAACAACCATGCTAAGTCTGTGTGCAAACAGTCCTGCACAATGCGCTTAAAAATAATAGTGACTACTGCTGCACGCGCACCCTACAATCATGGCAGATACGTCGTGCTTAAAATGCTCTGCTTAGCCACAAAAAATGCAAACATTTGCCATAAAATGGTTCATTTTTGGCATCGGATCGACATTTTGTCGCGCACAAGTCTGTTTTTATCGCGGCGTTCCAAAATGGGTTTTTCATTGCATATGGCCAGATATTGTGTTTTTGTCATTGCTGTCTAACATCCCGAGAGAACACAAAAAACGTTCCAAAGATGCACCGACGATTCACAATGAGGTCCGTGGATCCATCCGGTCTCAGCAAGCTTCGGTCTCCAGGTCTATATTTAAACGCTATTCTCGTTGCTTCCCCCCTGTATTTTGATAAAAACCTCGACTTTGCGGTTCGGCCAGGAGGAAAATCTTTCCATCCTCCCTTTGAGGTTTCGTGGCGGTAATGGCTACTTTGTTGTGGGGTATCATCGTGACTGTCTTCTCACTTATCTCCGGACCACTTTAGCAGCGACTGTTTTTTTTGCGTCTTAAATGAAACGATGATGCAGCAGTTTAGTTTTGAAACGTGAAGCGATGTTATTTATATAGCGCATTTCATGCACAGGATCAGAGTTTAAAACAAAAAAACAAAACAAAAAAAACAAGATGTAAAGGCAAAAGAATTTTAGACATTTAAAACACAGAATTCCAAAGCAAGTAGAGAACTACAATGTTGTTTACTAAAATTGATTATAGAAATGCTTGAAAAGATCTTAAATCATAGTTATGTGGAAAAAAAAACTTGAGGCTAACTTCAGTTTTGTTGGCAGCTCATTCCATGTGTTTGCAGCATAACACCGAAATGCTGACGCACCATGTTTGCTTTGACCTCCGGTGTCCATTAATTGACCCCAGAGCCCTACCAGGTTTCAATTTCATTTCTTTTAATGCATTTTGAGGTCACTCTTAACACTTGAAACGAAGGCAATAATTGGTGAATAATTCTTTGAATGCTTTTAGCGGCATCCCGCGGACGACGGCTAGTTCAGGCTCGGCCGTTGTTGGATGCCGTCAGGACATTTGGCTCAGAAAGCTCAGTTGCGTGAGAACAATCGCTTCAAAGGGACATATAGCTTACTTGAGAGGGGCTTAAAGATGGACGCGGCAATGTCATTCACAATCAATACAGGCTGAGTCAGGGCGGCCGGTGAATGGACCGGCATTAGCATAGATATGCGAAGGTAAACCGCGCTGGCTGAATTTGTTTTAATAATTAGCACTTCACAGTGGCTTTTTCCGCCCCTTTCTTCCCATTGTCGCTCCTCTCTCCCTTCACTAATCCTGTCCTAATCATCACACTTTTTTTTTTTATCTCTCTCCGTCTTTTTCCCCTTCCTGCCCCACGATCCCTCCGGCCGGGCTTTCTTTTTTTCGAGGCGCTGTGTTGTGCGTCCAAGGCCGTTTTCTTCCTCGGAGCACACTCTTGAAAGGCTATTCATGGATTCTTCAATGCAGCCCTATTACATTTGCTTGTAAGGGAGAGAGAGAGAGAGACGGAGAAAGACAAATAAGGCAAGGGAAAGGTATGCTGGGGTTGGGGTGGGCCGCGCTACAGTACCATCTGTATGCAAATGTCCTCAGACTTGGTAAACTTTGATCAAAAACTCAGGCCTCCTTCTCTCTCTCTCTCTCTCTCTCTCTTTGTCTCTCTTCCCTGTCCACTATATGTGCCCTGCAATTACTGTAAGCTCGCATCTCTTTGTCAACAACTCCCGCGTTATACTTCTTTGGCACGAGACTCCCTTGAAAAAAACTGACCCTCATGCCCTGCCCACACACGTCCATGTCTTTCGACCCTCCCTAAAATGTCCCTCACACACGCAGAGTCTCGGAGCACCTGCGGCCACACTGGTCCCCTCAACAGATGGTGGACCCCCCCCCCCCCTCTACCTCCTCTCACACACATCGCATGGCTCTTGGCAATGGGTGACGGGCATGCCTTTGTGCAGAGGTTGGGCACACTACACACACACACACACACACACACACACACACACACACACACAGTTGTGTACCCACATACAGCAGCCATTGTTTGCGCCATATGGGGAGGTTAACATGTTGAATACAGATCGGGTGTCCGGCAGGACAATAGAAGTGTTGTCCCGAGTGTCGTCATCGGAAATGAGGAAACGAAACAAAAAAACACGCCGCCTTATCTCCTGTACAGCTTTAATGTATGCCGGTCAAGAGATTTGTAAGCCCATTAAGAAATGTGCATTTGCATGTGTGGGTGTGTCTTTGTCTGGACTGTCTAACCAGCCACCCAGTCCAGGCAGGATAATGGGTATTAATCAAGGAAAAGCCATTGCCATATGTTTGTTTAATTCTGTGAAATGAGCCTTGTTTCAGACAAACACGAAGTGTGCCTTTTGGTGGTGGTGGTGGGGTGGGGGGGAGACGAAGGCAGACTTATGATGTCCGCCACTGAAAATCAACCGTTGAGTTTTTTTTCTGGGCTGGACGCACACATATCGGTACTCTGAGGTCGAGGCTAGTTTGGTGTTTCCTTAAGTCGCATCAGCTAGCTCGCAAGGAGCTTTTCGGCTGCCTCAAGCGCGGCTAAACGCGTTGCGGTTTCACAGACCTGTCAGTAATTAGCGCTTCTGTGGTGGCAAATGCACGGCAGACGAATATCGTTCTCATGAAGGGGCGACGAGGAAAGTTGGAGAAGCCATGCTAATTGCTAAGCTAACTTCAGGTTGACGCCATGTGATCGGCAAACACCGGAATTAAGCGGGTGTGTGATCGAGAACACTTCTGGCTCTCACCGCATGAATGTGGAGTGTATACAGTTTATTCACGACACAACTATTCGAATAGAAACGAGAAATGAATCGCGCTACATGACAGTGTACGTCAAATGGGAGGAGTGGCCTCGAACTACATTTTTATTTCTGCTTGAAATTGCCTCACTGAAAACGTTTCTAGACAAGAAAATACATTTGCTGCGATACATAATGTGAATTTAAGAAATTAAAAACTGTTGAAAACTGATTTGTTAGATTGTCATGTTTTCGGGTCTCTGGGATTAACGTAAGGGGAAAAAAATTATAAATTGCCCCTTCGACGAAGTCATTGATGAGCGAAACTGCTACGCATAGAAAAGTTATTTCGAGCCTTGGAATTGATACAACAAATGTTTCTCGAAAATTAACTATCACAGTTAATCTGCGTGTGCGCCATTTTTCTTCACCCTTTCTGTTACTGTCCGCGAATTTGTTTTCATCTGGCAATCTAGTCGGATAAGCCATCAGGCAGATGGTGGAGGGGATGGGAGGAGGCCGCTTGGGAGGGCTCCCGCGAGAGGAGTGCACACTAGGCAAAGACGGCAGACTCCTGTCGCATCCGCACACATGCAGACACCAGACCCCTGTTACGTAATCCACCAGTTGCACTCCCCCGCCGAGAGGCCGCGGTCTCGAGCTGTCTCAAGTCCAAAACAAAGTCATCCGTCTTCATGTAGCGTCTTTACGTCGTGAGCATATCTCCGGGTGCCTCGGCGCCTGCGGCCGATGGCGAGCCGGAGGATCGTCGGCTAAAATCGTTTGAGCGGGAAAGAGAAAGTCCCTTTCTTTCTTGGCTAAACGGGATTACTCAAAAGTCATCGGCCAAGTGTGTTTTTGTCGCGTTTAATTCCCTCCTCGCCTTTTTCTCGTCCCCCTTATGCGTGCGCCCCGTCCCGCTGAATGGCGACTCGGACCGTGGCAACAGATTTCTCTTTCAGCCATCTCCAGAGAACGCCCGTCCCGGCCCCTGAGTGGCACATAGTTGGGCTCAAGCCCGGCGATGGCGGAGGGGGGGGGGTGAGGCTGGAGCCATGTGGCCGATGTTGGTAAACAGTATCCAGGCTTGGCCTGGCATTGTGGCTGCCGGGGCGAGCAAGATCGAGGGTATCGGACACCCGAGGGCCACACACAGAACAGGAGGTGGCGGCATGGTAGTGGTTGGGGCCGTGGGGCGGGTGTACAATAGGTACACACACGCATTTGCATTCATGCGCACAGGCAGAAATACACGGACAAATGAAAAGACTCGCTCTCTGTGTCTGCCACTCAGCAGCTGCTCTAGTTTCCATGGCGACGGGCGGAACAATGTAGTCGCGAGTGGGTGTTGCGCGCGGGTGTGTGTGTTTCCACGCACTTGAAGTGCGTGTAGGTGGGTGCGGGGGTGGCTGGGGGGGGGGGGGGGCGCTTTATTTCTCCGTCAGCAAGAAAACAAATAAGGAAATTGTAAAATACATAAAGAAGGGGCGTGGTGGGGGGGAGGCGGGGCCAAAAGAGTCACAACAACCAAGATGCCGGTTTAATGATGTCTATTTATTTGTCAAAATGAGGTATTTCAAAGTGCTATGAGTTGCAGCACTAATAAATGTACATTTTTCAAAATCGGGAGGGAGGGGGGAGAAAAAAAAAACAAAAAAAAACATCTTATCCAGATTCCCAGTTCTATGCACCCGATAGTTACAAATATAAGCAAAAGGGAGAGGAGGGGAAAGGATTAAAAAAAAAAAGTACATGAGGATAGAACACATTTGCTGTACAAAAAGTTTGAGATCGAAGATGAAAGAAGATAAGTGATATCTACCGAGAACTCATTTTCATACGAAAATATAAGTATCAAATTTAGTATGTATCAGGTTCACACTAAAAAGCGTAAAGGTGTGTAGAATTAGTAAAACGATACGATACAAAGAGAAAAAAAAAAAAGGAGAGGGAGCGGGGGGCGAAAGCAAAATATCCTTATATTACAAAGTTCGTGACTCTCAAAAATTGAAACCTTACAGTACTTTTTTAAATTGTATATAAACTTCCAGTCTAGTTATTATTGGCAGCTTCCTGACGTGTATAGATTTATTTAAAAAAAAAAAGAGGACAAAATGTATTACAAAACAAGGCAGATCTGAGTGTATTTTGTCTGTACACTGTTGTGACGGCAAAAAAAAAAAAAAGTTTGCACCCCTGTTCAAATGCAACATTTTTGCGACATAAAGAAATGTGACAGGAAGTAATTTCAAAACTTTTCCATTATTAACGTAGTCTATAAAATGGACATCTCCATTAGGAAAAAAAAATGTTCAAAAAGCTAGTTGCATAAATGTGCACACCCTCAAACTCCATTGCCGGTTATTCTCTTTGAATTGGAGACTCGCAGTGCGGCAACAATTGCGCCAATATGTCCGACTTTAAAGGGATCAACGGTGCACAGAACTCTTCAGATCACCCCGACAGTACCACCTGATTCACATCCGGACTCTGCATGGGCCATTTTAAAACCGGACTCGTCTCCTGGTGAAGCCACCCTTGTGTGGATTAGGATTTCTGCTTTTGGCCACTGGAGATGACGTCTTCATATCCAGCTTATTTTAAATCTACGACTTTCATTTAGAACTGTTCATAATTCCCTCCACCTTCACTTAGGCTCCAAAAAAACCTGAGCGTTATCCAACTACAACACATTTCCCGTCAGGCTTAGATTTCAAATGTGATTTTGCAAAGTGTTGCCAAGCTTTGGATGATTTTGAAAACAGGAGATTGTTGTCACGTATACCAAACGGCCAGTACATGCCAGAGTTTCCTGCAAATTTTTAAGCATGACTGTTGGCTTTTTAGCAGCCTCCATGCCCAGTTTTCTTGTCATCTTTTTTAACTATTTTGGACAGATATTCTGCTCTTGGTAACATCAGAGCGTCTATAGTGTATTTTTAAAGCCTTGGAAATTCTTTTGTACCCTTCTCCAAGCTGATGCCTTTGAACAGTGAGATCCCTCTAATGCTGTGGAAGCTCTCTATGAACCTTTTGCTCTAAAATATGACTTCCAAAATCTCAGGAAGAGCCTACTAGAACAGCCCAGCTTGATTTGGGGATCATCAGAAGCACTTTAAACTCCCATTTTCCCAGAGTTAAAATCTGATGAATTCTGAACGCAGCCACTTTCTCACTTCCAAGAGGGTGTGCACACTTATGCAAACCTCACACATTTGACTTAACCGCTCATTTAAAAAAAAATAGAGTTGTGCAGGTCATACAGTAGAGCACATTAATAGTGTAAAAAAAATGTTGAAAGATTTATTCTTGCCTCTTTTGTTTTGTGAACATTACCAAAACGTGGCAGTTGAACAGGGGTGTGTAGACTTTCTATGCACTGTATATACAAAAGTGTCGGCTAGAAAGGTGCACAGGTATACATCCATTTTTACTTGGTTGGAGCACCAGTGTGATGGAGGAGTGAGAGAAAACCTGTAGTGGCATCATCGCTTGTGTCCATAGAGTCTTTGTTTTCTATTTTGTATAAAGTTGTCCGCTTTTGCAGTTGTGAAGGCAAAGTTAGAGTTGTGCATGACTCCTTAGTTGAGTCGAGCACTCCGAGCAAAGTGCCCTCCAACACCGCTCCCGGTAGGAATCCACTTGATTCCAGGCTGGTGTCACAGTGAGTACAAAAAAAAAACAATGCATACAATACAAATAATACCAAAACTTGATATAAAAAAAGCCTCTATTTCCTCATTCTTTTATCGTTCCTCAATGTGACTGGATTGAAAAAGTAAACCCTAAACATTCTTAACGTCAACAAATGTGCAAAAAAAGTGGCGGCAGTGAAAGTCCCAACGTCCCTCCAAATAAGCATCCGCCCCCTTCCGAGACGTTTGTGTACATGCGGGGGGGTTGGGGGGTTGGGGGGGGGGCCCTGCGTGTCTGTGCTTAAGTGTCAAGGCCAACTCCAAAGGTTACCCATCTAGACTGGGTGGATTGAGGCTGTTTTCGGCGCAGGTTGCGGCGGCATCCCGGCAACGTATGGGTGTCGACGGGCGCTCGCGGCGCGTCAGCGAGTCCTCGCCAGCTCCAGCCTGCGCATCAGCTGCTGCCGGCGGGCCTGCAGCCTGTCCTTCTCCAGCTGGAGCCGCCGTTCCTCCCTGTCCAGGGAGCTGACGTACTCGGTGGCCTTCTTGAGGATCAACACCTTGGCCGCCTTCTCGTTGTATGCTAGCTCGGGTACGTGGTCGCGTAGCGTCAGGAAGCTAGAGCGCAGGTCGTTGCGGCGCTGGCGCTCCAGGATGTTGTGGTTGCGCCGGCGCTCGCTGTCCTCCGAGTCGGACCCGCCCCTGGGGCTGCTGTCGCCGCTGCAGCTGCGCTTGCTGCGCGGGCCCGACGCGCAGGACAAGGAGGCGTTTCGCGTCGGGGGTTTCGCGATGTCCGACGTCCTCTGTTTCTTGGGAGGCGGCGCCGGGTCGTCGTCCGACGTGTACGGCGAGGGCGCGGCGTAGTTGTGTTGCTGCTGGTGCACCGAGCTTCTCTTCAGGATGAGCTCCTGGGGGGCTCGGCTGACGAAGCGACCCGCCGAGCCGGATCCCGCGCCGCCGCCGGACCCCCTCTGGTCTTGACTTCTGGACACCACGGCGGCTTTGCTGATTGTGGAACGCCTCTTTTCTACGGTGACCACGTCAATCTCCTCCTCTTCCTCTTCTTCCTCCTCCTCCTCGTCCTCATCATCATCTTCCTCCTCCTCTTCGTCGTCATCCTCTTCCTCATCTTCTGGGAAAGTAAAACAGAATGAGTTAATCTGTCAGGCCCAACAAGTCTTCTCCCACTGTGATGTGTGTACCGGCTGGTGACAGGTATGCACGAGTGCGCGTCTTATACAAGACCGATAAAGCGAGTGTTGCTCAACGCTGTTTGCATAAGCAGAAACGCCTTAATGCTTAGCGTCAGTCACCGCTCGGCTAATCTGCCGCGCAGGCGTTGACACGTCGAGTCTCACTGCTGAGCGGGCAAGTTGGCTCTCCGCCTTCGCAACTTCTAATCGGCTTGGTCTGGGTGGGACTAGTCGGAAGTCGCCCGTCGTCTTGTCTCAGGCGCCGACTTTGACCTTTGACAAAGACGGACCCTCTTGAAGACGAGGCCTAACACTGTCAGCGAAGAATCATTGAAAATTGGATGTCCGTCCTGATAACGGTGCCGACGCGAAGGCCGCTTTTTGGCTTCTTGATGTCGCGGTCCACTTGCAGCGAGGCCAGGCAGTGCAGTGGCCAAGCCGATCCAGCAGACGGCACTACACCTAAAAGCTTGTTTTTGGGGGGTTATGTTTTTGTGTCTTATTGGCTCTGTGAGTCTTCGACACGGCGTGCGTGCGACAGCAATCGGATCACCGCGCTTTTAACCCCACCCCACCCCCGGCTTGGAGGGGCGCCAGGCAGACAGCTGTCGGGATGGAGCGCTTGTTCAAAGCTGTCGGCCCCTTAGAAACACACACACACAAAGAGAGAGGACCCTCCCCTGCTTTGTGTGTGGCGGAGGAGGCGTTTTGGCGAGGCTGCCTTGAGCGTACGCTCCGTGCCAAGTTGGGTGCTCTTTGTGCTCCTCTTTGGTGTTTGCTTAGATGATTCCTCAATTGATAAACGCTCGCCCCCCCCCCCCCCCACTTCCCATCTCGTGTCATCCCCTCATAACAGTGCAGCGTCAACATTTTTTTTTTTTTTTGGGGGTAGTCCAATGATGACATCATGGCATGTTTGGGTCACGTGACGTCCCGCCAATGAGTGACGCTGTGCACAAATGTGATCCACAGTCTTACACTAAATCATCTCTTCCGTTCTGCCTGACATGGCGGGGGGGCCGGGGGGGGGGGTTAACCACATGGCAATTGGGCACACACAGTTCCATATTTTGCCGCCATCTGTTTTAAGGAGAGGCGTCTGATTACATCAACTCAGTTGACTGTGCGCGTGCGTGCGTGCGTGTAATCCGATTGCCTTCCAGTCATATGAACGTCATACCAGTGCGCTTTTCGTCGCGTTTGGCGGTCAACTCGCCGCAGACAAAGACATTTGTTGACACGCTCGCATTCTTACCCGAGTCGCTGTGGGCGCTCCCGTGCGTCGCGGCCGCGCTCGCGCTGACGCTCGAGTCCCCGCCGCCGCTCTTGTTCACGGGGAAGGGGAACACCACCGCCGGGTCCACGCATTCCGACGCCGCGCTGCGGCTCACCGCCTCGGGCGCTTTTACGCACACGTCCCGCCTCCCGGTGGAGGGACCCGAAGCCGCCGGAGCCACCGCTGCGACCACCGCGGTGGTGGCGGCACTCGTAATAGCCTTCCCGAGTTTCTCCGTGACCGCCCTCTCCAGCTTCTCTCTGGCCGAGAATCCACTCCACATACAGTCCTGGAGGATGATGCTGTTTGGGTTTGTATCCAAAGCGGAACCGAACAGATCCATATCGTCAGATGCCCCCCAGATGTCGTCTTCGGGCAGGAGGAGCAGCTCCGAAGCCCAGTCCAGTGGGTCCCCCAAGCCGAAGCCCAGGAGGTCCGCCTCCGGGGAGGCTGCCGCCGGTTCCCCAGGTAGAGCGGCGCGGCTCGGGGAAAGGGGCGGAGTGGGCAGCAACTCGAATTTCTTCCAGATGTCCTCCCCCGGTGGCGCCGAGTCGGGACCACAGAAGTAGAAGTCGTCCTCATCCGGGTAGAAGCACGGTTGTAAAGAGTCGAACTCCATGTCTGAGTTTTTGCTTACAATCGCCGGCATCCTTTCCCACGCTTGAGAAACCTGCGCGGAGGAGAGAAGAAAAAAAAAAAAACAATGAAGACCCTTGCTATACCTGGACACGCGCGTGGCTCAAAGCCCACACGCAGTCTGCATACCATTCACACTCCAGTCCCGTGTGACTTTTTTTTTTTTTTAACGCGCACCCTCCCACTCTGAGCGTAAAATGTGCCACCCGTGCGTAAAAAGGTGCGCGTTTGCAAATGACAGCACACGCGTTGGACACCCGAGGCTTTCATGGGGGGGCTCTTACCTTATCGTGACTTGTGCTTGTTCTCGCGTGGACCGGTTGTGGTCTCTGCAGTGGCAGTGAGTAGCGACACAGACACCAGATGTGAAGCAGTCATCGACGTGGGGAGCACAGACAGCCCTCTGACACGCACCGTGGCTGGCTGCACTGTTTTACACTCTGACGGCAGGCAAGCTAGCAGGCAAAGGCGGGATGGCTCCTCCCACTCCACCCCCCCCCCCAGCCCCCCCGTGCCTGGAGGAGGCCGAGTGGGAGGGTTGATAGTGGGTGCAAAATGGAGGGAGGGGGGCCGGGGAGCTGTTATGCTTGTAGAATCGTCGCTCTTTCTCACAAGGTGAATGCAGATAAACATTCAAAACGAGACATAGTGACAGCGCTGTGTCGTAAAGCTATCATTTTGTTGTCGACGTTTCTTGTATTTTTCAAATCGACATTATTATTTTTTTTTTTTTCCTCAGCAAGATTTTATTTCAAACCCTTCCTCTGACCTCAAAACAGAAAGGCTGCAATTTGTTGTTTACTGCAAATATATACGTCACCATACTGGTTTGAAAAAAATATGCATAAACCTCATGATATATATCATATTTACTCCAAATGGATGACAGCAATGTTTCCCTCCCGTTTTTGTGCTTCGTAATAAGCAGAGTGGTCTCTTTTGTCTGAAGACAAGCAACTTCCCCGGTTGCAGTTATTCGGGGCTCACTGCGCCCTCTTACGGCTACTTTTGGAAACGCAGCCCATTTATTTCCCAGTGAAGCAAAATGGGCAATCCAGATGTAATTTCGATTTTTTTTTTTAAATAAAAAGGAGAAATACAATTGTTGATGAAGTGGCAAACCTTTCCTCTTGAAGGCAGTGATTTTCACTGTCATGCGACGCATCACAGATATCTTACCATCTACATATATCAAAAACCGAAATCGCTTGATTGAGTCGAAATGCACACTTCAGAAGTTTTAGTTTCGGTTGATCACTTTTCACTAAAGATAAATGAGATATATTCCATGGCTAGATGATTCAACAATTAATATTTGCATCGAAGAGCTCACAAAAAGATTCAATTAAAAAAATAAATAAAATACAAGCCAACACATACCAGTGCCAGATGCATCTCCGAGCTTCCTTAGTTTGGCTGTAATAATTCCAGTAGTCCTTGCCTGTCTCTTTTGGAACTGATTTCTTGGAAAGCTGCAGTCAGCATATGTGTACACGGCGTGCGCTGTGTTTTTCTTTCATCCTTTCATCCATCAAAGCCTTTTGACATCGCTTGTTTTCAATCAGCGAGATACTTTTGAACACTTTCAGTAGCTGCATGGGCGGGAGTTGTAGCCTGGAGTTATTCCCATTCATCTCCATTCACCCTTCATTTTTTTTAACTTGAATGACATCTTAGAAAAATAAAAAAATAGGGCACATCTGTAATTATGGGCACACACACGCGGATATTGACACAGGGCAGCGTTGTTGACACAATGGCTTCGATATAAGGCCAGCTGGAAGGAGGAGAAATGACTTCCTCTTGTTTTCCCAGTCAAACAATACAAGACAACTTGAACAGAATGCAGAATTATAGCGCACCCTCGTATCAGCAACGTCCCCCATAATTATGTCTGCTGTACTAGCGTTAATGCAAGAGGTGATCCTATTTTGCGTGTGTGTGTGTGTAATTGTTTGTTTTGGGGTCGAGTTCAAACAGCCAGTGAAAAGTGAGAATGTGCAGCTGTTGTCTCCTGTGAGGAGAGCTAGCAGGGAGTTTCCTGGGACCGGGGGGAGACGGTTGAAGGAGTGGAAAAAAAAACTCCCCACGGTCTCCACTTGTCTTTAACTTTCTCAAACTACTGTTCGGCTAATTCCGGGAGCTACTGGAGCTTCCTGTGTGAAACTAAAACACACAAGTGTTGTGTTTTGTCTTGTTTTGTTTGTGTGTGTATGTGTCATTGACTGTCGGAAGTTGGACAGTGCTGCTTCATTGGCTTTGACCTTTGATCAGTTCAGATTTCACGACCACGCATCCCATTAAGGTTATTCAAAGAGGAGATGTATGTAACCTGTGACGAAAACATTCCCGTCACGCAAGCGTAAAAAGAAGCTAAATGCCGCTGCATCTGAGGAAGAACAACCTGTGTATGGGTCACCTACCTGTCTAAGTCATGCTACTAGCGTAGCAGCCACGGCAAGCTAACGTCGACTTGATTGCAGTGCACGGTTTGGACGGAGATTCGAGGAGTCATGATGTTGTTTTTGAGAACTCTGACGTACCCCCCCCCCCTCCCACTCCCACCCTGTCCTCCCCCATTCACCGATTAGCCAGCATATGGATGGTTAAGCAATTAGGCCAGTTATGATAAAAGATTCATAAGTCACCCCGAAGACAATCTGCTGCAGTGACTGTTGGTTGTTGTTTTGAAACCGCGTTATGACTGATTCCATAATTTGTTTCTAATGTTGCCTTTTTTATTTAAAAAAAAAAATGTAGATTAAGAATTTAACGGGCAGCGACCTGCCTCGACTGTTTGGGTTGAGACGGCGGGGTGAATGTGAGAACAGAGTCATTGTGATTGTCGAGCAGAAGTAGTCGTTGAAATACAATAGTCAATTTGCATTCGGGGCAGGAGGTTGCTCGCCCCACCCAATCCGGCAGCCGGTGCTAGTTTTCATTTTGTATTTGTTTATTTTTTTAAGGTTTAAGATGCAGTGATGATTCATTTCTCAAAGATTAGCCTTTTGAGTTCTGCCTAGCAACAAGTGCCAGGTCACAAGCAAGAACAAGAATCAGAGCTAATCTGCTGATCGACTCAACCGCGAAACCCTTGTGATGAATCAATATTGAATAATGACTCCATCCGTTTATAATCATCAAGGGGGTGGGCGCTGTTATTTTTTATTTTTTTTTTGGGGGGGGCATATCTGCAACATAGGCTTGGACATTTTTAGTATCCACGATATCTAAGAATGGGAATCAAGGGAGTTGCTTAGAAAATCAAGTTAAGCGACAAGACTGTTCACCTTGACGAGCATTGTTTCTCCTCCTTTGACCATTGATGATTTCTTTTCTGACACGGCTCCGGCCCAACTTCGTCAGAAAGTTTGCAAGGGCCCGAAAGAGGAGAGATGAGGGGATTGCTGAAGCGAGTTCCAACAAAACACTGAGGAATTTATCAAGAAGGTAGTTCCCCTGCGAGCGATGCCAGCTAAACGCTTTTCCCGTTATGTAAACCGACAAATAGACAGCATGTTTGCCCGCGTTACACCCCTGCCCCCCCCCTCCCCCCACCACTCTGTGTGCTTTTGTCAAGGAAACGTTCTGTCCTTTTAGAACACGCACGATTGATTTGATATCTTTTTTTTTCTTTCTTTTTATGATGTGAAAGAAAACTGGAATCTGTCTTGTTCGATCATGCCCGCAAACCCTGTTCCTCTCCAGGTCTACCGGTTCAATGAAACCGGCGCATCAGATGAGTCACGCAGCATCGCGTCAGAGCGCCGTTAGGCACACTTGGAGATTTGCCCGGAGATATTTCTTCTTTTGCGACCTCCATGAAAGAAAAATTGATTGAAAACGACCTCCAGCTAAGTCGATTCCGACTTCAAACCGAACCTCATCACACGTGTCTTGTCGGTCGTCATGCGACGACTTGCGGCGGGGGGCTGCCGGCGCACGTGTCGAACGCGTTGAGTTATTTTCACATGATCGGCATTTCAGTCGGTGTGGGAACTTTCTTCAAGATGTGCAGCGATAAGTTGACATCTCCTATCCTTTTTTGCGGAAGTGAAAGTATAGATAAGACGTCTTATGTTTCAGCAGCAAGTGAGGTGTGATAGATTTGTCGATCGCGGAACCTTTCCAGTAAAATGCCACATAGATTGGACAGTGAGCAAGCGACTAATTCTGACAATCTTCCTCCTTTTGTGGTTGTCTTCAAGTCTCACAAAAGGATGGCCACTTGATTAGAGATGGCAAGGAGGAGCCCAACTCGCCTAGTTATGCATGTGAAATTTAAGTGTGCCTTTGTTAGTTGGGAGATGCAAACAATCACATTGTTGAGGTACATGAAATAAATTGAAGAAAGTGACGTTAAGATCAAGAAATCGACCCACTAAATGTTTTACGATATGTTGTATTTTGTGTGGTACATTTTTCAACTAGCGCTCGACCAAACTCTCAAGCGTAACGTTAGCATTGATGCTAACATAACAAGAGAGTCTCTCCGGCTGGGTGACCACCCCTGAATGTGTTTTTTTTTTTCCCTTTTCTTCTTGTACTCACGTTATCGCCTTAAAACCTACAATCCATTTTTATATGCCGCTATTAGTCTTTATTGTTGGTTTATTCCAGATCTCGGTGGGCTCCATTGGAGCGTAAAATGGTCTGTAACCATGCGTCGCTCTTTCACGGATCACATTACAAGTTATGGATCAAGTCGTGACCGTGAATCAATCCGATTGCCCCCCTGAAGGTGAACATCATTAGAAAGCCCGACGATCAACTGGAAATCAATACCGCTGGACGGATTAAGAACAAGGGCGCCGGCGACAGCATCCACTCGATTTTGTTGTCGTGCGCCATTGTTTGCACGCAAGCGCTAACAAAAGTCAGCCGGTAAGAAAAAAATGCTTTTTGTAGTTGCTGTGTTTAAAGTGGCATGGCGTAAATCCACGTTCACTTTGACAGCTTTACTGGCTTGTTGTTGCTGTTTGTGGAAAGCGGAGACTTTCGGGGGTGCTCGTGAATCACGCAACGGAAACCCGGTTTGACTGATGTTGATGTGGGGGGGGGCGGGGGGGGGGCGTCAAACGGCACAGTCAGTCACAGGCCATTAAATGCGCTGTAAGAGGCAAAGACATGAAATAATGTGTTTATCGGTCCTGCGTCTGTGCAATTAGCGAAGAGGATAATGTGGCTCACGGGCCACACACGGTCCCCTGCGTTCTTTAATTCGGTCCAAACGCTTTGACGTGAAGAGAGAAATTTGGTGTGGCATACGTTTAGGTAGTTTATTTATTTATACAGTGCAACACAAGATAACTCGATGTGCTTCACTTAGTTAAAAGTATAAAAAAATAAAAAATAAAGAAATAAAAAGTAGCCGAATAAAATAATGTCCATGGCAAGTACAAGATTTTAGAGTACAAGTTTATAAATGGTTTTAAAGCATAGCTTTAAACCTGGATTTCAAACCACTATTTAACCAATTCTTACCCCAAAATAATCAGTTATTCGTGTTTTACTTATTTTGTATTCATTTAGCCCATTGAACATTTAAGTCAATTCTGAGTTTTGTTTCTAAATATATTATACCTGTTCAAATATGATTACTGAAAACAGACTTTGAAGTATGTCGTGTTTAATTATGGAGGTGTAACAAACTGGTTTTTGGAGAATATTTTAATTGGCTCCGATTTGAAGACGCTGCCACATGCCGCTCTTTGAAGTCCGTCAAGAGTCGTCTGTATCGGAACAACAATGCTTGCAGTTGTTTGCATCGGCAGTTATTGTCCCTTCGCTTTTGAGTGCCTGGTTGTGCAGGGAGTCTTTGTTTTGGTTTTCATTATTATCGTTATTTCAATGAAATGTAAATAATTAAAATGAAAATAATGTTTTTTTTCTGCCATTAAAATAAACAATTTGAGATATTTTACTTGCACATTCTAACCTGGCCCGTTTGTCCGTTTAAAAAAAAAATGTAATAGAAAACCATCATTTACGTTCCCATTTAGCTTACGCTGCCATGTTTGAGCAGCTGCTTTGATTAAAAAA